GAATCTATATACCCTTACATACCCCCACGCCTCGGACCAGTCCAATTTCTTATGGGGTTTACAACTATTTTAACCTTTGAGGACTAGAACCAACCTGCTTGGTTCTCACATATATGAGCCAGAAACAAACAAGAATCACTCACATTTCAGAGCAAATTCGTGTTGCCAAACTGGTTGGTTGGTGATAAGTTGTAGGAAAATACAAAGTAGGAAATTTCAGTTTATCTTTTCCTTCCCATGGAGGGTGCCCAAACTGGTTGGTGATCAGTTTGTACATTTTTAATGCAGCATAGCAAAGTCCATCAACACAACTCCAATTAGTAAATTACCACAGCTCACCGAGCTTATCTTAAATGCAATGCCAACAACTGTTTCTGCAAAAATTACCCTAACAAACCAGATGCTTAATGCTCCATAGTTCAGACGTGCAACAACATACCCGGTAAAATACCACAGTTCAGACTGAGAACAAATACTACTACAACAACAGGTCAACAACCCAATCCACAACACATGGGTCTAGGGAGGATACATGTATGCAGACCTTCCCCTAGTATGAAGTAGAGAGACGTTTCTGAAAAATCTTGAGGACCAAACACAAAAGCGCAGACACACAAACAAGGCAAACACAATAGCAAAGACAAAGTAAGAGAACAGAAATGGGAAAGCACAAATACTATGGAAAAAACAGGATATGAAAATGGTAATGTGCAGGCACTTATTCACATAATATCACAGAAACACACAAAGGATCCACAAATAACACCCAAGAGAACATTAAACTAACAGTAGCTTTTTTCATGAGTGATTCACACTTCATTAACATTCATAAATTTAGAGCAAGTAGAACCTTGGGAGATAGAGAATATCACCTAAAAATGTAAAAATGACCCGTGGATATTAGAAAGATATTATTAATGCACTTGTTGATGAGGTAATTTATCTTAACTTGCCACTAAGACAAATTAACCTTATAATGTTCTGCAATAAACATAGTATTATAGAGCATTTGCAATTAAATTCCATTACATCACAGATGAATTTCTGGTAAAGGTTGCAGCTTTCATGCCCAAGCTACATGGTTGATCCATTCAATATGAAAAGAGAAAACAATTCTGCAAATTTATGACCAAAATTTTGTCTAGTTCTACCAAAACAGAGGGCAACAAATAAGAAGGATCATCACACACACCACCAAGAAACAGAACAAGCAGGGAACTCAGATGGGGACGTAACGTTTCATTGCCTGTTTTGCCGTAACTCCCAGTCCGACCACCATGCCGCCAATAACTCCAGCCACAGCCGCCGACCTAACGCCCGATGCAGCTCTGTACAGCGCGCCAGTTCCCAATCCAGCCGCCACACTGTTGATGATGTCGTCGGTATCTCTCAGAGCGACCAATCCGCTCTCCATCCCAGCATAAAGCAGCCCAACCACACCAGCACGGTTCCCAAATTTCCTCCCCGCGTGACCCGACCCGTTCAAGATTCTATTGACCCGGAGTTTCATCGACTCGCCTGGCTCAGAAGCTCGGACGCCGCCCACTAATCCTTTACCGGCGCCGACGGTGGCTCCGCCAAGATACCCGATTCCGGTGTAGTAGGTGATGTTTTCACCCCAAGATCGGCGCTGCGCGCGGGCCTCTTCCTGAAAGAGAAACTCGGGGGCCGTAGGGAGCTGGAAATAGGCCTGTGTTGGGATTTGCAGATCTTGGTAAGGGTTGTATAGCCGGCGATTCTGTTGATCTTGGTTGGCGCTTCCATCATTGGAAGATTGGGGACGATGATCCATTGTTGAACAATCTCGTCGTGATCTGCTGCCTTGTCGGATTGAGGAGGTTAGGGTTTATGAGTTCGAGGAATCGGGTGGGAGAGAGGAATGTCTTGTTTTTTCTTTCTTGTAAATAAAGCCTTTGAAGAAAGATCGGCCCGGTTCAACCGGTTATAATACGTCACCGTTTTTCCTTTAAAAAAAACACTTTAGTCTCTCGATCCTTCCAGGTTTCCACTTTCAACTCTTTGTCGTCCTCAGTTTTTTTTTTTTTTTTTGGAAAAAATCACTTCGGGTACCATTTTTTTGTAAGAATTTACACTTCTCACATTATCGGTAAATTATTACATGGACTTAATGTTTATGGTAAACTTTTATATATATTAAATAAACATTTTTTAAGTATTAAATTAAGCATTTTAAAAATAAAAAGAAATAGGAGGAATTATCTCAAATAATTACACCTTTTTACGTTCTTCTAAAAATAATATTATTTTTTATTATCACGAAAATAATCTCACAGTTTTCATGTGTGTGAGTTTTGGTCGTCATTAGGATGCTAACAGTTAAGTAACGAAATTTTTAGAAAATGCTTATTTTTTTAAAAATAAATAAAATGTAGAATTATTTTAGGTAAATTTTCTTTTTTTTTGTTTTTAAATTTCTAAATTTAAATTAAATGTATTTTTAAAAATATTTTTATAAATAATACCAAATTTAAGTATTTCTAGAGTAAGACTAATTATTTTTTTCAATAATCGATAATCTCGTAATTTCTTCCAAAATAATCTTTCAAAAGTTGTGAAATTGTACAATAAATTATTCTACTCAATGGAACTAATTCATTTACTTCACAACTCACTATATTTTTTTTGTAAGTTGCAAGTATTTTCTTGAGCGGTGCTTCAAATTATTTTTTGATACTATACTATTCTGATCTTATTTTTAAAAAACGATGCTACAAACCTTATGAATATTTTTTATAATTCTGGATAAATGTTTTTTGCAAAACAACCTTACAACAGTTGTGAAAATTACACAATATTTTTATCTCTGAAACGAAACTTATATTTTTATAACTCACTATATTTTTTGTTGTATTGTAATTTTTCATTAACAACACTCCGAAATGTTTATCAATAATTTTCTATTACCGTATAATTTTTTCTAAAATGGCACTACAAAACATGTAATTTTTTCGATAATTCAGTATAATTTTTTCCCAAAATAGTATTTCAAAAGTTGTGAAAATGACAAAATATTTTTTTCTCCAATATGGCACTAATTATTTTTATAACTAACTATAACTTTTTGTATTTCATTTTCTTTCTCGAGCGATACTCTAGATTATTTTTCTATAATTCAATATTATATTTTCCCAAGAACAAAATACAGAATTTGTAAATCATTATATTTTTTTTAAAAAAATGAGACATATCTCTAACAAGAGTGTACACTTATATTTTTTTTAAAAAAAATTAAATTTTAAATTAAAAAAGAGTAAATTTACCTAATATAATCTTACTTTTTATTTATTTGCGGAAAAAAAGACATTTTCAAATTATTTTGTTAAGTGTTTATTCTGTTTTTAACGGCGACCCAACACTCACACACATATTCGATGCATTGGATATCCTTACTCAGCTTCATAGAATAGTATGTTTTATTTGCTACACACAGGTAAATAGAAAGAAGGATGTGACATTATCCTGGTCGCAAAAAGAGACAAGATTTTCGGAATGGATGTGATATTTTTGAATTGTTATTTCAACAGACATTAGTATTATGTTTTGTGATTTGTTAAGCTTCTGGAATATTGAAAACTCCCTATTATTTCTGTTATGAATAATATTTTTGTGATAAATATAAATATTTGAAATATTTTAAATTCTACGATTACTAGGATTATACTTTAGTCTTAAAGGAGCTGCAGACCTGCACAGATTAGAGTGACAAGATTGTTCAAAAAAAATTAAAACAAGAGTAATGTTAGAGTCGGAAATAAAAAATTCACAAAATTTACAAACTTGCCAAATATGTAAAGTAATGGATTCAATAATAGTCTCAAATAATTAAAAAATTAAAAAAATACACAAATATTCCATTTATGTATTTTGTGAGCGTTTGTTTGTGACTCAAATTCATGAGTAATGTTATAGTTAATGACACGTGTCCACGTCGAAGGGATATTTCTTCATCCAGCCATGACACGATTAGCGCCGCCATGTTCCGGAGGCTCAATCGGCGCTGTCCGCCGGATGTGTGGCCTTCTCCTAGATAATTTATCAATTCCCATCAGGCTATGCTGTTGCCAGAGTGAGCATTCCTACATCAACAAGCCTATGAAGTACTGGGATGACTTCTACAAGCGCCACCAAAACAAGGTCTCCGCAAACCAACCCTATTACTCGTTAATTAGTTCTCCGCATCTAACAAATTATCTGGATTAAATCTTCAATATCATTTTTCTTGATATATCACGAAAGATTCAATTTTTACTGCATTTTCTCAATTACCCAGTTTTTCAAGGACAGACATTACTAGGAGAAGGATTGGGGGAGCCATTTTTCTAGTGAATATGGGGATGGTGAAGGAAAGGCCGTTTTATAGGTTATTCCTTTGCGTCAGTTTTTTTTACTTCTTCTTAAACACCTCACAACATTGAATTGGAAAAGTATTGTACAATTACATGTAGGCTGTGGAGCTGGAAATTCAATCTTTCCACTTGTTTCTTCATTTCCCAGGATCTTTGTTCATGCTTGTGATTTTTCAGCCCAAGAAGTAACACTCGTTAAGGTTGTTTGGACTACTTGTACGTCACCAAACTTTGCATTAGTACGATATTGTCCGATTTGGGCCAAGTTCTCTCGGATTTTATTTTAGGCAACTCCCAAAAGGCATTCTACTAATGGAGTTGGGTTGAACCTTATATTTTGATACCTTTTCCTTTTTCCTTCCATTGTGGAATTTTCGTATTCGATTTCTGCCCAACAAAGATATACCTACTAGGACTGCCTATTTATAGTCTGGGATAGGGATCAGAGATTGTGGGTTTTTCTATCCCTATGGATGAGTAATTATATAATTGTGATTGCGTATGTTTGTGAAATGGTTATTCGAGTAATTCATATCCTTGGATCTTCTAAAACATAGTCCCATGAAAATGTCAATGATGAGAGGATAAGTGTCTTTGTGTGTGATGTTGTAAAGGATGATCTCAATGATATAATCAAACCCTCAACTGTTGACGTTGTAACCCTTGTGAGTGATGGCATTAACAATCAAAGTGTTCTAGTATCTGGCTTTGTGTATCTTCTTTTTTGTTGGTATCCACTGATTAATTTAAGAACTTTTCTATTGAAACATTATAGCTTCATGCTTTTAATTTCTGTTAAGGGAAACATTTCTTCTAGTTTTCAAGTTATACTGTGGTATTGATTTGTCATCCATTAATTGTAGACTCCAATATTTGTCATTGAGTTAAATGAAAATGGCATTTTCTTTCGTAATGTGACACTTTGATCTTAATATAGAACTGTAAAAAAGTACTAAAGGTACTCTTTGTTTGGATTAGAACGTTTTCCTTGCTCTTTTATTGTTCTCTGAATATTTAGCATGCTTTTCATCTACATATCATTGGCATGCTATATAACTGTAAGTATGCTGATGTTGCTTATATTTGCAGCCAAACAGTCACATTCTTTTTCAAGATTATGCATGTGGAGATTTTTCTCAAGTATGAAATGATGTCATATCTGCATCAAAACATCAACGTCGCACAACTTTTGCTGATGTTTAACAAGATCCCTTTGTTCTATTTCTTGCAAAAAATAAAATAACTCTTATTTCTACTCTTTTTCCCTTCAAATTTTTAGGTGAAGTTGCACAAAAGAAACCAGATGATTAGTGATAATTTTTATTTTCGAGATTGAACTGTAAGTTCCCCAATATGTAAACTCTGGAGATTATTTATATTGATACCAAGGTTTGTCATTTATTCGTGGTTTAGATTTCTAATTGTGTGATTTCTATTGATATGTTTAGTACTCATTCTACTTTTCTGAAGAATACTTGTCAACGTTATTTGTAAGCGCTGGATTTGATGTTGTAGATATGAACACATACTCTATGGAAATAGTGAATCGTTATCAGAATATTACCATGCCCAGGTATCATAGCTATAACAATTTCCAAGAACAAACAAACATGCACTCTCTTTAACTTTAAGATATGTATGTGTGTGTGTATAAGCATTTTTTTATTACATTTTCATCTTCTGATGAATAAATGCTGGGCCCCATCTTGTTAGGCGGTGGCTACGAGCTTCTTTCAGGAAGTTGTAAATTTTGGATGCTTCTTCCCCTCCACCTTTCTGTTAATGGGCCATTTAAGTTGAAGAGTCAGTTATTACTATGCATCAGACGCTACTGCCTACAGACTAATATTGTTCATGAGGTAAGATAATCCAAGATTAAAGGGAATGAATGAAAGATAATTCTTTTGTGATTGCAGAATGTACAGATCTACTGCCAATACATCACCATTGCGAGTATTACTATGCAATAAAAGTAACGCTAAATATTCAAGCTCTGCATGCACCATTATGACAGAAGGTAGAAAAATTGTAGATTTAAACTCTGCTGTTTGCAGTAATTTTTTTTTTTGGCGGGGAGTGGTGGAATGTTACCTTTTCTGTTTTGCGGATCAAACATTATACATATAACCCCTTAAAGAAAGAGTTAATTGTGGATAGTATATACCTTTATTATAGGTAGAGAGCTTCCGGATAGTTTTAACTGGGGGGACTGTTTCTGTATCGTAGGTTTCTTAGTCGTTCCAACTCAGGCAATATGACTGAACCCAAATCAGGTCTATCCCTTCCTTTCAGCTCACAACACTTCAACGCCAATTTGGCATAAGATAGAGCCTCTCGGACTGGCCAGTCTTTTACTGCTGGATCAAGTATGTCTGCAAATTTACCTTCTTCTATTGCTCTCTCAACGTGATGCTTCAAACCCATAGGACTCCTAGCAGTAATAATTTGCAAGAGCAAAACACCCAGAGAGTAAATGTCTGATTTCGTACTCAACTTCCCAGTTTGTTGATACTCAGGATCAATATAACAGAACGTCCCGGCAGCCGCAGTCACCTGATACTGAGTGATACAGTCAGCAACAGATGGTGGGACCAGTCTTGCCAACCCCACGTCACTAATCTTGCTCACGTAGTTCTTGTCCAAGAGAATGTTTGCCGGCTTGAGATCACGGTGCACCAAGGGGGAGGGTTTCGCATGGTGGAGGAAGTTGAGGGCTGTCGCTATTTCGGCAGCGATTGCGAAACGAGTAGTCCATGGTATTGGAGGTGTGTTGCTCTTGCAAAACAGCCTATCATCTAAGCTTCCGTTTTCCATGTACTCATAGACAAGGCAACCGTACTCATCACACGCACCCAACAAGAGGACCATGTTTGGATGCCTTATTCGGCTCAAAACCTCAATCTGCACCGTGAAAAGTGAGTTGCAAGGTGTTAATAAGGAACCAATTCAACCAAAAGTTCAAGCTTCTGATTGAAGTCTATTCTACACAGAAAAGAAATACTCCGTATAATATACTGTTTTTTTGGCATTACGGGCCGGGGCTGAATTGAAAAAACAGATTTGTAATATATATACCTCTTGCTGAAACTGTTTCTGGCCTTGTGGGATATCAGGCCTCAGAACTTTTATGGCAACAGTCGTGTGGTCCAGAACGGCCTTATAGACAGGGCCATATCCACCTTCACCAATTTTTTGTGATTTTGCAAAATAATTTGTTGCAACTTCAATCTCTTCAATCCTGTATCTTCTATACTGAATCTCCTTCTCTATAGACGCGCCATTGCGCTGGGAACTCAGTTTTGCTATGCGTCGTGCAATTTCTGCTGCTTCAGCATCAGCTTTGCTCGTATATGCTGGTCTTCTAGCCTCATCCAGCCTTTCTAAGGTGTTCTTCAGTTCCTGTTTTAGCCTTTTAATCTCCTCATCCTCTTCCACCTGTAATGTATCATATAGTGTGTCAAACAAAACTGTTCCTTTAAAACTCAAACACAGAAACATGACATATTCTGAACTCACCCCTGCGCTGGAAGAGTGGGAGTTCCCAGAAGCTTCTAGATATTCAAAAGACACAGAGGAGGAGTAATTTGTTTGTCCTGAAAGTTCAGAATCAGTCGTGGAACAGTACGAGGTATCTCTAGTACGACCTCGTTGGTTCAGGTTTGTATTAGATTTGACAGCCGGGGAGAGATATGGGGTGGAAGGAATCTTGTTGGGCTGCTGTTGGGAAGAAGACATGTTCTTGCTGCCAAGCTGCCTGTTGAATGGCATCTGGCCACTGTCACTACTGCCGCTGCTAGTGCTGGACCGACTGTCCCATGGGCTTCTTGGTGTAGACTCATAGCTGTAATTAGATGATGATAATGGCGGCAATGGGTTGTTCTTGCCGCCATAGCCGCTGTCCCATGGCTGCACGTGCCTCTCTGACATTCCACTCTGGATGCTCCCTCCATCACATGACTCCGTTAGGCTTCCACTAGATTTCCATGTCCCTTGGCTGCTATATTTTTATTTATTCATTACTCAAATCATATTAGAAGCCAACTCACAAATGCTACTACATAATGACAGAGGGTAGTTAAGTAGTTTTTTATTTCTTACTTGGAAAGATCTGAGGAAGAAAGGGTATCAGGAAAAGAGAGACAGAGGCTTGACTGAGACGACTGCCTGCTATAAGGGGTGGCAGCGGGTGCGGGAGACCGAGTTGCTGTTTTGACTGTCTGAACTCTCCCCCTTGAGGACACGGCGTACACTGTGCAGAAATCCGGGACTGATTTTCCCAAGTTGGTCGGGACATCCACGTTCTTAAATGCTCTGTCATCATAAGGTGTACAAATCAAGATTTAGAATGTCTGCAACAATTCGTAACCTGATTTACTTATAAATTAACAAATTACCTTGCCAAAACGCTCCGGCTTGAAGCTCCGAGTACAATGGTGCTTATGGAACAGATACATATGTATTCAGATAGTGCATTTGTAACGTCAAGCCCCACTAGAACCACCTCCTTTGCTGTTACCTATATCCGTCCAGAAGCATACAAAAGCGCACTAAGATACAACAACAATCCAGTAGAATCACACACACACACACACAGACCTTACTACCCTTATTTGAAAGTAGAGAGGCTGTTTCTAAGAGACCCCAGCTCGAACAGCACTAAAAAATATACAGAAGCTAAGATACATGATGAAATACTATATTCCTAACTTTATGATTGGATCCAAATTTTTATATTAGATCGATGGTTACTTACCCCCTTTCGAGCACAAGAACCACGAAAAGGCAGGAATAGACTTTGCACTTCCTCATTTGTTGGTGGACGGCCTTCTTTGATTACACAATCCGCTTTTAAAAAACAAACAACATTTCCTTAATATGATGAAATCTTTCCTTCTTATGAAACTTATACTATGTTTGGTTCAAGAAATTTGGAAGGAAAAGAAAAGAAAACAGGTTTCTTTCATTTTCTTTACCAAAATGGAAGGAATTTGGGTTTCCCTCCTTTTTAGTATATTTTGCCTTCTCATTTGCTTTTCCTTCCACTTTTCTTTTCTTTTCCTCTCTAGTCAAACATGAAAAATTGATTTCCATCTCATTTTCGATCTTTTCTTTTCCTTTTCAGATTTCTTAAACCAAACATAGTATTAGAGAAAGATGAGATCAGAATACCTACATGGTTGAGTGTTGGGTTGGACGATGACATGGACGAGGATGAGGTTGCGGGATTTCTTCGGGAGGTTCTCTATGGCCCACTTGACGGCGTGCTGGCTGTTCTTGTCTTTGTCTATGGCCACCGCGGTGATGACGGTCATTCCGTTCTCCGGTGGGGCCATCATCATCGTCGTCACGATCACACCACCGTCTTATGAAAATATTATATATTCTTGAGAATTTATACGTGGGTATGTGCGTTCGTATAAATCGTGCACAGACTACCGAAGGGAAATATGGTAATTAATTACCGTCGGCGGCCTGTGATTCAAGAATGCCGCCGGCTGGTTGGAGGTGACGGTGGCGCAGCTACGTACCTATGGGATAGACGATGGCGTTGAGAACAGCCATGCATGCATGCATGGTGGGGAAATAAGGTTAGAGAAGGAAGGGATGGGTGTAGTTATTATTTACCGCCACTCATATATTTGTTTGACTTTTGACCACTGGTCGTCGTGGCTCCCATTTTCCCTTTCCTTCTTTTTCTCGGCTCAAATTATATCTATCACGCACATCTGAATAGTGTTTGGGCTTGCATGCCTATTTCATCTTTATTTAAAGAAAAATGCTAAAAACCCCCTGCTACCAATCATGCACCCCTATATAAACATGTGGTAGGGAGACAAGAAAATTAAAATTAGAGGGTGGATAGAGAATGGGTAGAGATAAATATGTGGTGGAGAAGTGGGTGGAGGTAAGGTTGGTAGCAAGGGTGGGGGTGTGTAGCACGGTCTTTATTTAAATAATTGTGTCAATAAATAAATGTTGCATTTACTCATGCCTTAGCTTATATCATTTGTTGGAATTATTTGTCCACATTTTCAATAAGTTGTACGACGATTGTCGACATCGCCACGACGGTCCACGGTGTGACATATGTTGTTCATATTATTTCAGTGTACAACCTAGAACATAACAATGACAAGTAAAGAAATATAATGTCACACATTGACATTGCACATTTCAATCAATCAAAAAGTGGCAAATGAGTAGAGTGACATGTAGTGGCAAATTATTATTTTTGCCACTTTTGACACTTTTTAATGCATTTTAATTATAAAAAATATTTTATTTATTTTTTAATGAAATAGATGTATTTTTTTAAAAAAATCTCCTTTCTTCTACCAAAGAAAATTTTAAAAAGTTATAGAGCTAGGAAGATGTGCCTCGCACTTGCCATGCTTGGCATGGTGGAAAGCAAGTCCCACGCGAGGCAAAAAAGAACTTGCATGGGCTGATGAGGCAGGCGCGGCAATGGCATGACCCATGGCAAAGTCATGTCACTGCCAATGCTCTTATGCAAAATGCTGTCCCATGGAAGTCACGTCGAGCGAAGCTTACATGACACTCTTTTGGGATGTAACATTCCTCTCTTATGCATCTAATCTCTTTAGCGATTACCAACTGAGATGCTCTTCATATGATTTCTAACCTTGCATTTTATGAACGTACTAAGCATATTAAATTATTTACGATCCAACATTCGTAACAAGCAACATTATGAATTTATCATTTACTACATCCCATATCATACGTAAGTAATAAATATATAGTAACCAAAGAAAAGAAGAGTTACTCAAAAAGTTTCACAAAAAAAGGATGAACCCAATCTCCAAGGGTCTCCCAAGATCCGGCCAAACACTCACTATGAGAGGTAAATTGGACTTTGATCGCATATTCGAACCTGCAGCGTAAATCGGCTCTATCTCAGTGGTCATGAATCAAACTTGGGTATACACCTTTGGCACTTCTTGTCTTTGTAAAACTTTTGACGTGTTTTTTAATATGTCAGTTTTATTTTTATTTTCTTATACTTCTCCGTAATTCTTAGATAAATGTTTAAAAAAACAAAATTTTGCCTTGTAATTCTAAAATGTAATCTGATTTAGGAAGAACGGAGTATATTTTTTTGTTCATTTCGAAGAAAAAATGTCTTTGAATTTGGATAAGATCTCATCTCCCAACTTAAGTGTAAGAGATGATCATGTCAATAAAATGAAGGATTTCAAATCAAAAATAGCAAAAACGTGCTCCAATGGGCCATCTAGAAAAAATATAAGTCTTCTATTTGTACTATCTTAACCTCCATATTTGATGATACTATTCATCATCTACTTGTTAAAAATGCCGACTTCCACACAAAAAAAAACAAATCTTCCACCTTTTCTTTGAATGTTTTTTTTACAAAACCACCTTCAATTTTATTAAAATGCGCACTACTAGCGTGAATAGCCCATCTGGTCTAAAGAGAAGATATGAAGCTCGTTGATCTTTGGGTCAAACCCGACAATAGCAGTGTGAGAGTTCTATTATTTGTAATATACTCCGTATCATTGTATGCAGACTAGATTGAGATTATATCATGATTTACCTCTCTCACAATTCCGTCGGGCCAGAGAGTGGGGTGCCGTGATGGGCGTCCCACCTTTCGTCGATGAGCTCTGATGGTGTGAGGCGTAAGTCGTAATTGCTGAAGCTTAGTAATAAATGAAGTAAAAAATCAAACAAGAGTTAATAAGGCGGACTTTTAAATGTCCATGGGGAAAAGGTACCAGTAATTTTTTTTACCTGCTTCGAATGAAGTTTTGGGCACAACTCAGTAAAAATCTATAATTTATAACTGAAAAATCTTTTGAAGAAAGAGAGTATATATGCCTAAAAATTCCATAAAAGTATATGGAGTACTTCTTTTGACCACAAATTAAGTGTTATTAAAATTTGATGCGTGAGTATATCAAAACTATATTTTTTCAAGAACTCAATTTTTTAAAATTTACATTATAACTAAATCATACGGTTTTTTGACCTTGGTTTTCAATGTCATATTATGACATGCGGCCTCTACGATCCTCCGTTGGTAATATTAATAGTTCTTATCCCATAACCCCCTGCACCCCACCCTAGCACCGTACCCTCCTACCCCACGCTAGATTGCCGATTTGGCACCGCCAAATCGGTGATCTAGGGTGGGGGGAAGGGTGATGAGGGCAGCCATTAGGTTTAGGAGGAAGGATTAGGGGTAGAAATTCTCAATTTTATCAACGGAGCACCGTAGATGTCTCAAAAATTAAAATGCCAAGGTTATTTAAGGTTACTCGAGGCCAAAGTCAAAGATTTTTGACGTAACTAAATATATTTTTTCACTAGTTAGGATTAAAGTGTTGCATAATTAGACAAAAAAAATTAAATTGTGATAATTTTTTTGGAATAGAGAGAATATAAATATGGTAAATTTGGGAGGGGAGAAGTATATTAGGGACTTGGTAATTTGGGAGGAAGATGGATCTACAGTGGCAAAGCATTTTGGTGAAGAAGGTGCAATTGATTGGAGTTAGATAATTGAATGTATACGTGTCACACCTCCTTTGTACCCGATCGAGAAATGCGTACACCAAACACGCCTCTCTTTCTCTCTTCTCCATCAAAGACAACAAGACTCATTGAAGAAGAAAGAAAGAAAGAAAGAAAAGAAAATGGAGGGAACATAAAAGCCGCCATTATTAGCCATACACTTCTAAATCTTTTATGCAATTTCGGGTTTTTGGTGGGTGAGCATCATCTCTTCCTTTCCAAAGAACCCTAGATTTAATCTCTGCAAAAATTCTAAATTTATTGCGGATTATTATTTTTTAGATTAAATACCACATATTAGGCTCTTTTCCACAGTTTCTACTGTTCTCTTTTACTGTAGCTCTAGTTGTGTTTCTATTGCTGTTAATTTTGTTTCATTTTTGGGAAAAAAAATTAATTTTTATGCTTGATCTACGTTGAGGCTGCCGGCTGGTATGAAATTAAATGAAATGAGAAGAAAAAGAGTGATTTTTCAAGAGGTTGAGATGGGTTGCCTTAGATCCATGGAACCCAAGTTCCATGTGGCAAAATGGAACAATCTTTTTAGGGGTTTCCATGTGATTAATGGGGTTTGGGATGTGAGGGCTGTTGGCAAAATGGAACAATCTTTATGTTGTAAAAATGATCACGTTTTCTGCCCCATTTCTTGAAATTTTATGGATAAGCTTTGATTTTATTGTCCTTTTTCCCCACTTTTTTCCCTCTATTTAAGGGTTGGTGGTGGAGATGTGATTCTCATTTATGAAGGGAATTGGAGTTTTCCAGTCCGAGGTAAACGCTTCACATTTCCTTTTTGATCCGTCTCAAAATAAGGTTTCACTTTCTCTTTAAAGAAAGAATTGTGTGGCTTAATCACACAATTTTCCCTTTCATAATAACTTTGTTGGGTCAAATGTGAATCCTTATTTTGGGACTGCCCAAGTAAAGATCTCAAACTCAGCTTGTTGATTTTTTGTTTCCTTTTCAACTCTTAAAATTTAGGGGAATTAATGGAAGAGATGTCTCCAGCAGTATCCTTTACACTCCGGTTAAGTGACACAATCGTTGATAGCCCTACGACAGGGATTACTAGGCTGAAAATTGTGGCTGATGGAAGCAGTTGCAATGGTGCGAAAGTTGATGGAACTAAATCAACTAATGAAATTAATAGTGAGGAAATGACCTCACAGATAAGATTGCCAATTGCTGTTGAGTTTGAAGGCATTGATAGTGGCCAAATTGTTGCTAAGGTTATAAGTGTGGAAAAACCAAGTTTTGAAGACATTTCTTCTTGTCCCCATTCGAATAAAGGAGGTGTGAAGAGTGTGTTTGAATTGGATTGTGTGCCAATATGGGGTTATGTGTCTATATGTGGAAAGAGCCAAGAAATGGAAGATGCAGCCATGGCAGCTCCATACTTTATGAGAATTCCTATTAAGATGTTCATTGGGGACCGTGTGGTGGATGATGGGCTTAGCCAAACTTTGAGTCACCTAACTTCTCATTTTTTTGGAGTTTACGATGGTCATGGAGGATCCCAGGTTTGCTTCTTTTTATCCTCGTTTGGTAGCCAAAGGCAGCTTATTCTGTGCATCCAAATGAGTAGATTTCTTTCTTATTCTTTTGATATAATGAGCTTTACCAAATGCTTTTCTTTTAAAAACAACAGATTTTGCCGAAAATGGTTGTTTATGAGTAAAAAAACTTAAAGTACAAGTATATATTATTGATAAAATAGAAAAAAAATGGTTACCAAGTGGCGAAGGAGCATATTTTGTCTGCCTCTATAGAACTGATAGTGTTGTTTCTTTCAGGTTGCCAACTACTGCCGGGAATGAATCCATTTGGCTTTAGCTGAAGAGTTGAAATTTTCCAAAGATGATTTATTGTGTGATAGCAGTTCAAGGGATGTTAGGCAATTGCTGTGGGAGAGGGCGTTCAGAAGCTGCTTTCTGAAGGTTGATGATGAAGTCGGAGGAAAAGTGGGCATGGAAGATGACGCGGCTGGAGAATCTGACCCCATTGCCCCTGAAACCGTGGGATCCACAGCTGTGGTTGCAGTGATTTCTTCTTCACATATTGTAGTTGCAAACTGCGGGGATTCAAGAGCTGTCCTTTATCGCGGGAAACAAGCCATGGCTTTGTCAATCGATCACAAAGTAAGAAACCTTGCTAGTGGCCTAAATATGGAGTAGTTAAGTGTTTTAGAAAGTAAGAAGCCTTGGGATTAAAATGCTAATGATGATGGTGATTGATATTGTTTTTCAGCCAAATCGCCAAGACGAGTGTACAAGAATTGAAGCTTTAGGTGGCAAGGTTATACAGTGGAATGGACATCGCGTTTTCGGCGTTCTTGCAATGTCAAGGGCTATTGGTATGTAATAGTGTAGAATTATGAGATCCCAACATAAAACCCATTTTTTTTATTTCAAGAAAGGTTTGTCAAGACATTATTTTTGGTCAGGTGACAGATACTTGAAGCCATGGATCATACCAGAACCAGAAGTGGCATTCGTCCCCAGAGCCAGAGATGACGAATGCCTTGTTTTGGCCAGCGATGGCCTGTGGGATGTGATGACAAATTTGGAGGCGTGTGAAGCGGCAAGAAAGAAGATTCTGGTTTGGCACAAGAAGAACGGTGGGCCAAAGCCTTCAGAGAGGGGCGCAGGGGTTGACCCTGCTGCACAAGCAGCAGCAGATTACCTCTCCATGCTTGCCCTCCAGAGGGGAAGCAGAGACAACATCTCTGTCATTGTTGTGGACTTGAAAGCTCAAAGGAAGTTCAAGACCAAATCTTAGTTGACCATTCATCATCTCTATTGCTGCAGAATTCATGAATTGCATCTTGTCATTATCATTTCATGATTTTTGCCCATTCTTTTTTCATGTGGGCTTGAAGTGTGTGCATGGCAATAGTGCTTAGTATTTGTATTTGTAGAAACCTTTACTAAAAATGACTTCTTTTTCAGACTTTGGTTATTTTGGTATATATATATGGTCATGTACAAATCTAATGCTCGGTGTGTTATGTGTGTTATAAGTATGATGCAGAAAAAGGGAGTTGAAAAATCAGTAAAATGTACTCTCTTTGTCTCATTTTAAATAACTTGTTTTGATTTAAGATGTTTGACTGAAATTATTTTTCATTCATTTTGAAATATACACATTTAAAATTTACTAATACTCAATTTAGTGCATATAAGTGTACTCACTTGTTAATTTGGTCTGTGTGGGTTTGGTTAAGTCAAATTAATTCTTGTAACTAAGACATTAGTTTAAATTAGTCCTTTATGCAAAATGTTTTACTAAAATTGGGTCAGTAGCATTTTGCATCGTTAAAAGGAGTAACAAATAAGAATGTCATCACATTCGACTTCTTTTACTCCCCCATCCGGAAATATTTCCCCATGAAAGATATAATCCCTCCATTAAAATATTTTCATCACATTCGACTTCTTTTGGTCAAAATTTATAAACTTTGATTCCAATTTGTAGAAAGCATGCATTATACTACGGAGTATGATATAAATTTAATATCAAAGTATTTTTAATAAAACGTAATTTTGAAATATTAATTTTTTATAAAATATATCTCATATAAATATATGAGACCATGAAAACTTAAATGGGAAAACATTTTCGGACAGAGGGAGTATCATTTGTTTTCATATAAATAAATTGGGTAAAGATCTTTTATTTTTTACTCCGTAATAAACAACACCAAACAGAGGGTGCAAATTAAAAAATATATTACATTTTTGAAAATGCATTTTATTATTTTTGACAAGTAAAGTTGTATTATAATATTTTGTTACGAACTTCTCTCGAGCTTGAGTGATAGGAAATACACTCCCCAAGATTCATAGAGGCTTGGGCTCACTCAGGTTCAATAACATTCAAGAAAAATAATTATTTGTTACTTTTAGATATTGCAAAGATAAAGAGACTAATTTGACACAACCAAATTACAAAGACCAAATTAAGTTGTGAGTGCACTTAGACATTTAGTTATGTGGCAATCCACCCCTCAGTGACCAGCCCTTCACGCCCCTCTTCCCACGCCATACCACGTGTGGAGGGGCATTGCCCCTATCCAAGTGGTAGCCATCATCTCTTTTTTCTAATATATTAACCAATCAAAATTTAACATATATTCACACCTCATTACTTTCCTTCACACCAACCATAACACATATTTTTATTACTCCATATCATACTATGTTACACACTATCAAGCTCCATCAAGCCCCTCTATAACACATGGTCTTAGAGGGATAAAATGAGCATCAACTCCAAGATTAAACAGAATTTACTTTTTGCAAGTCTAGTAGAAAAAGAACAAGTACTTATTGGGACTATTTATGTTCTGTAACACAAGTTGATTAATACCAACTCAAATATATTTAGAAAGATAACATGAATTAGACACTGCCCATCACATGCAAGGCAACAAATCCAACAATTGTCTTCTTAATAATATACTCCGTAAGTCACTAACATGACTGTCTGGATAGTTTTTTTAGAACAGGGAAAAACAAAACACCAAATATGCAAATGCGACGCATATCTACCTTCTCTTTCTCTTCTTGTTCACTGTTGGGAATGTCAGAGGAACAGAAAGGGTGGCAAGATGACCTCTTTTCTCATCGCGAACAAATTTGCAACCCAGCAACTCAAAACGAGGCCTCAAATGTCCAGTTATTGTTCTAAGGTCTTTGGCTATGTCAGATGGATCGGAGCGGAAGTTATCAGCATATAGAGTGAGCACGAGCACATAACTGATGAGGAGATCAACTTTTTCATTAGGAAGTCTTTTGGATTCCGATACGCAAAACATTGAAGAGAACCTCTGGAACAACATGGTAGGAATCCTGTGATTCTTGGCAGAATGAAAACCATCCATGGAGTGTTTGTCCTTGAACTTAACAAGATGAGTGATATATGAAAAGATTCCAGCCATCTTTCGCCGCTCCTGTTCATTCTGTAACATGGTTGAAAGCAAAACCAGGTGAAATTGCTGTATAAGTGTGATGACTAACGCCTTTCTACAAAAAGGCCGTATTGGTTTATTAATCACAATCTGTCTTAGTAATACGTGGGAATAGTTTACTTATGGGTCATAATAAGGTCGGAGTGGCTAATTCAATTTGGGATGCTTTTGCACCAGGCTTCCCTTTTACTAGATAAAAAGTATCATAATCCCAAAACCCGTAATATGGAAATATTACTACTCAAGAGAATGCAACCATATCATGGGATTGCAGTGAAATTTAACACTAAATGTTAATTCGCCCTCCAATTTTGCGAAAACTGCTGTTCTAAAGAAAATGGTAATTTACTTCTAAGTTTTACACAGGCTATTCTGTAAATAACAAGAAGAAAAAACACCTTTTTAAATGGTTGGAGGGGTCGTTTATTATTATCCTTCACTTTATCTAATATTTCATGGCATCTTTACTACTACTACTCAATGATCAAATTTAATCAGGGTCCCAACACATTTATATATTATATATTCAAACTTGAAAAGAAAATAATTCAACAGGCAAATACTATGGAGTATTTAAGATATTGATGTGAACCAGCCTGCCACATTTTCCATTACCTTAATGTCAGCCAAAGTATGCATTCTGTTGCAAACGAAGCTTGGAAAAGCCTCGGGACTAATGCGCTCTCCAGCTTCTGAAAGGTCAAAGATATCAGTGAGGTAATCCCATTCTCCCTTCAAAATAATCTTGTGCAGCGGATATGCCGTCTCAGGTGTAGCAGCAGCCAAATCATAAGGTGGGATATTCCGATCATTATCCCCCGTGACAGCAACTTCTTCAAGTGCACCTTGATTTATGAGTTTGCTCCCTTCAATTACATGCTCTCCACCAGCATCTGCACCTTGACGCAGTGTTTCAAGCTTCTTTTTCTGCAAATCAATTATTATAATTGTAAATCATTGTAATGTGAAATTACAATCCAGATTAATAACCTAATAGATTCCACACTTTTACATTCTAAACTCATTCAGATTCAGATGCAGGTATACCCTTCGTATAGCTGACTTGCTAAGAAACTTGTCCATATCTTTCTTTGGGGCTTCCTTTCCCTCTGCAGTCATTCCTAGCGTGGCCGGATTTTCTTCATCTATCTTAGGATCTAGTCTTATAATCTACAATTGCATGATTAATTATTAATACACATAAAGGGACATATCACAGCTTAAAGTCAACCCTAGCAAAAAAATTAACAATTTTACCATGCTTCCAGCAATAGGAACGATCTTAAGCGTCTGAGTCTCCTTGTCCAGCACACCAATAGAGTAGTTACAGCCCTGGGCCGCCGTAGCCTCGCCGGAATAATTTGTACCGACGAAATTCACCTGCGACCCGCTCACGACGAGCTGAAACCTATTGGTCCTTTTTGTGTTTCTGAACAAACTAACCCTGCTTCCCGGTTCCCTGGGGTTCTCCGTCTCGTCGTCCTCCATACTTTCCTTCGACGGATTGAAACCAGACGGGAAGTATCCAACAACAGGAGGAATTTTTTGTGCGTTTTGACTCAAAACTTGAATCTTCACAGTCATTTTCTCGTTTTTGTTAGGGTTTTCTGATTTTGTGATATTCGCCTTGATAATCTCTGCTTCTTCATAGCCATGGTCCGATATGGGGTCTCCCTTATGCAGCTTCTTCTTCCCCATGGTTCTGTGTGAAGTGTAGACGGGAATTTCAGATCCCCTTTTTTGTGGCCCTTAAACCCTAAACTCTGAATTTTGAATCCCCCCTTCTTCTACCATCTAACCCATCACGGGCATCAGCGGTTTGGATTTTTGATGTTCGGGTCGGGGCGGCCCATAATAACAGCAAAATCAGGCATGTGTTTATACCCCGTAATAATAATCTGTTAAATATGTCAAATATATTACTCCCTCCGTCCCAAATTATTTCCCACATTTGTATTCCCGAGGTAAAATATCAAGTTTTTTCAATTTATTTTATTTACATATTGGTAAAGAAATAAAAAATAAAATTTACATATAAAAAAACTATATGAAAAGTTCTTCAAAATAAGAGGTGTCAAGAATATTTTATTTTATTAAATAATCAATGAAAACGTCGAAATAAACAAAAGTTCCCGACACTGCTGAAAAAGTAAATGTTGTGAATATTTAGGGACGGAGGGAGTATTCTGTATTTCTATTGCTCCTTAATTAAAAGATCTTCTTACCATATTTATCTAATTTTCACTCCTTTTAATTCTATATGCTCTGTATACAATATATACTTCATGTCATTATGAACAAAGTATTAATTTCATAACTCGCTAAGGTAAATTATCAAAGTACTAAAGTTCTAGGTAATGCTAAGACAAGGTTTTTAAAGGTGTTGAATGAATAATAAATTTTATGAAACATGTTATCAGTAAAATTATGTATATTATTCTTTTTCCTTTGATTCTAAAAATTTTTCTTGTTTTAACTTTTTTAAGTACGGAGTACAAATTGTGAGAAAAATATATTTGATTATATAATAAATTTAATATGTGAATTCATTTTAGTACATACTCGGAGTAGTTTTGTATATTAACTTTCTATATTAATTATTTATTTAGATTATATTTAATTTATAGTTATAAAATATTTGACAAACAAAGATAAAAAAGAATTTTTTTAAGGATTGGATAGAATATTAAACAAGATGTGAACATGAAATTCAAGAAAGAAGTTTATAAGATATTACAAATAAGGTATTCTATGTGAATTTCATTTCCCAATTGTAAATATTTTTTTAGAAATGAATTTTTGATTCATAATCGTCTTTGAGTCATAATTGAACTTTATAGATGATTATGGTTTATGATTCATAGCCGTTTTTAACTCATAAATTATAATCGTTTATGAATTTTATAGACGATTATAATATTTACAAATGATTGTAAATTCAATTTTTTTTCTCAGTATATTTGTTGAGTTTGTTTT